AATATATATATATATAATATATATATATATATATATATATATATATATATATATATATATATATATATATATTAAGTTGTATGAATATAATTAGGGCCATTTTTGTTGTTTTTAGAATGTTGTTATTATTCCGATGATTAACAGTATATTTGTTGTGATAATATTTTAATTGTTTGTATGAAATTTTAGCCATCTTCAAAATCTACGAGACAACTTACAATAATTGTATACAAAGATACATTTTGAACTCCTCAACAGTCAAGGCAATGATGATTTGCCTTTGTGCTCAAACTGTCACTCTGTGATAAAGACACTTTTAAAACCGAAGTACTTAATTAAAACATTTGCTTTTATACTTATACTGGACGAATAATGTAATGTTAATGATTGAGAAATATTTTAATTGTACGTATTACATTTATCTACGAAGAGAATATTTACCAAAATACTACTGCTCTTGGCCAAATGTACAAAAGTTTAAAATGCTAATGAGTAACTCGCAACAGAATGTTATAAAGAAATTGTCTAAACTTATTTACTATGCAACTTTAGCTGTAGGTAATTTGAATTTCAACTACATTTTTGTGTGTGTAATTTCAAACATTAAAGATATACTATGCTCAAATTTGATTTTAAAAATTGTTAATTATTGCTACACAGTTTCTTCGTTTGTATAAAATAAACATGATAGATATAATTTATTGACGTATACATATTTGTACATAGTCATAATGCAAAACACGTAATACATAAATCATAAGTCATGGTACGTACCATCATATTGAAAACAAACATTGTTAAACAAAAGTATATATGGAGAATATTCTTAAATCCATATTTAAACGATACAAAGTTGGCATTACTCTTATTACTCTTATTACTCTTACTCTTATATGTTGCAAAAATGACTTTCATATATTTAATATGTTGTGAATCAACGATTAAAATTACATGTTAAATACCATACTGTCGCTTTTTAATGAGCAAAATTATCATGCGCATACTGGTAAAAATAGTCTTTAAATGGTAATATTAATAAGGTCATATCGACGCTTAGTAGCAAAGATGATGTATTTAGCAAGTCCAATTAATTCGGATTTATTTTTTGACTTCAAAAGCTGCAAAAATTTAAACATACTCGGCCTTCTGTAAAAATATGGCTTAATGAACTCCCTACGTAATGCAGTATAACAATTGCAAATGATAATAAAATGAAATTCATCCTCAATTTCTTGACGATTACATAATTCACAATCATTTTCTTTCAGAACGTGGATTTCTATTAGGACCATACCTCTCTGTCTCTATCTTTAATTTATGAGAAGATAATCTAATACGAGATGAATTTTGTCTGTAGGATTTAATGAATAAATTATCAAGATAAAATGCAGGTTCAAATTTGTCAATCAAATGTACATACAGATTAGACAAAAGTGGACTAGACTGAATGTCTGCATTTACCTTTTGTATAAAACAATCAACTTATCTACGTTTGAATAATTCAACAAACTCTTTTGGGCTGTATTGCAATTGGTTGAGCCATACATCTGTGAATCCATATTCATTTAAAATAGAATGAACCTTAGCTGCCCAGGAGTTATATCCATTATCATGAAGACTTATTGATGAATAAAAAGCAGACTTTAAGATATTATTATTTGAATGAAGAATATGTAACCAGCATCTTATTATTTGAACATATCTTTGAACATAAAGAGGATATCGGCCTAACTCCGAATAAACTGCTGCAGTACATGTACTGTGTTTTACGCCTAACAATGACTTGCAGAATTTCAAGTGAATCCTTTCTATATCCTTAGATTTTGTAAAACCCCATATTGCACAAGAATAATTTAATGTTGAGGAAACAAATGCATCAAAGAGTTGGAGTGAAACGGAAGGGGTCTCATCATATTTGTTAATATTACGAAGTAAAACATTTTGGGCTTTCATAGCTTTTCCTATAGCATACTGATTATGAAGTTGAAAAGACCCCGTATAATTAAAGACTACACCCAAATAGTTGAAGTTATCAACAGTCTCTAATAAAGTATTATCGTATGACCATTTTTCATTTTTTCTGATGCTTCCCCTCTTCCTAAAAACCATTGTTTTAACATGTGTCGACTTCATTTAAAGTCGATATGTTATGTTTTGAACTCTACACACTATAGGTGGTCACAATATGAATATATAGTGTCATTAAAAAACTGGCAGTTTTTTAAGAATAGACCAACTTTACTTGAACAGCAATAGGGAATGCAGCTTTCCATACATAGTTTAATAATTATTTTATTCAAATTAAACATATTCAGGAAGAATTTCATGGATTTCAATACATTTCTAAGATAAAAATATTTTACCCAAAGATGAGCATAGTATATCTTTAATAATATTTATTTCATGACTGCTCATTGGTTAGCTTAATTGGTGTCCAGAGTACAAAATATTAAAGATAATGGTTATTTTTGTGTTTCGTTGTTTTGTTGTTGATAAATTATCTATTCTTGTTTTTTTTCAAGGCAGAAAACATTGTTCTAGTCACCATAAATTATTGATAATGAAGGTACAATTATTGACTTAATATGATGGAACGATTTTAAGCAGCTCGCATCGAGATTCATGCTTACTTTCATGACAATTTTGAAAATGTATATTAAAAGATAAAATATTGTCAAGTGCACAAAGAAAGTAATTTACACATTACAAACGGCACGGTCAATCAAATTAAATTACTATATAAAGGCCGAAATATGCAAAAACAATCCCTTACTGCGTAAATCACGCAGCAGATATATGGTCATTCATTGCTTATAACATGTGTTGAATTGCGAATATTTCTTTAAAAAAAAACTTATATCATTTTTCTCTAAGTAGATTTACTTGAAATATTGCGGTTCATCTGATGCTATGCAGCTTTAAAACATTCATATGTTGTTTAATAAAACTATAACCGTTGTCGGCAGGATTCGAACCTGCGCGGGAAGATCCCAATGGATTTCTAGTCCATCGCCTTAACCACTCGGCCACGACAACTTGTTTAGTCATGAAAAATATTTGTTGGGATGTACCACAATGCTGCAGATTTTAACCTCAATTTTGAGCAACATTTGGCAACAGCAATAGATTGGTCAATTTTAAAATTGATATCTTGTAATTGGTGTGTACGTGTATTATTTGCGGTCATTGTTAATTGATAAATGTAGCGGTACGAGCAACAATTCTCATTCTATCTGCTACAAAATAAATGAGCCGCGTCACGACAAAACCAACATAATGCGTTTGCGACCAGCATGGATCCAGACAAGCCTGCGCATCGGCGCAGTCTGATCAGGATCCATGCTGTTCGCTTACATACCCTAGCTATTACAAGTAGAGAAACTGATAGCGAACAGCATGGATCCTGATCAGACTGTGCGGATGCGCAGGCTGGTCTGGATCCATGCTGGTCGCAAACCCATTATGTTGGTTTTGGCGTGACACGGCTCAAATTTTGAAATACTTGTATGCAAATATATCATTTTTCACGCGATACTTATCTATATCCATTTCAAATGTTCTTATATATTAATCTTTTGCGGAGTTTCTTAACCTATGCCTTATGATATAATTCTAGAAATGATTACGCAAAACAACAATTTCACATTGAATTCAAGTTTTTTCTTGAAAAAACTAGTGCTAGTCCTTTTGTTAGGGTGCTGTTGATGATGTTTGGAACGCAGGTTGGGATGATGGTTATAATTGTGTGATAATGATCATAAATATGATGTTGATTTTTTTTGTTTTTTTTTCGTTTTGTTTTTTTACACTGATTTTAACACATCGACGTGCACCTAACTCACGGGGGAGGAACGGTTACACGAAGGATGGAGTTCTTATGATAACTTGTCAAAAATGATAATTTTCATCTTTAAAAATTGAGTATTGTGGTGCTAAATTAAACATTAATGATTAAGCTTGCGTTACATCTTGCATTATGTGTTAAAAACTATTTCATAGGCCATTTTTCACAAGAACACGTGACAAGATATAATAAGAATTCCATCCCTCGTGTAACAGTTCCTCCCCCGTGTAACTACCTTTCCTGGATAACCAACACAGTGCATGATTACCAATTTTTCAGAAATTGATTGACAAATTATTTAAATGATTTATGAATCAGCGGTGATTACAAAGATGACGATGAGGAGGAGACAACGATGATGATGATATTTGGGGTGATTATGATGATAAATTTCAATTCTAAAAAAGTGTGATTTTTTTGCTAAGTTTTTGCAATATGGATTGAGCGTATGCCAAATATTTATCGTGCAATTTCCATGTAAAATTGTCGTTATTCATTATTCTGTAGTGCGTAAAAGTATGAGAAAAACTGGCGTGGCATAAAGACACGGCCGGTCTCTATTCTCTGTACAATAAGTACCGGGAATTGAATTGAATTTGAAAATTTTCTTTAATAGTTTGATTAGTTTCTTTACTAAAGTAGCAGAGTCAATGGGGCCAAGATTGTGATTATTACATAGATCTCACCCTAGCATTGCTATAATTAAAGAAAGGAATTTCAAATATTTGTAAAATGCTTTTAGATATAGGCCTAATATGGTTTTAATATCGTGAGTTTAATAAACTGTAATTAAAGTCATGTTAATGTGTAGAATTTTTGAATAAACACTAAATTAAGCTTTTATTACATCTACCTTACTTTTTTTAATTTACATCTGTTTTTTGTAAGGACTGTAGTAAGTATTCCTATTTCAATATTTGTAATCATTCAACTTATGATTTGAAATCCACTTATTCGTTATATTATATTGTTATAAAATAAATTGTACTAATTTTTGTATTAAATTTCTCAATTTAAATGGGAACTGTAAATGTTTTTACCTGCAGCCATTAACAAATATATAAGCTTTCAGAAAATGTATTATTTTACTGATTTTGATATATGCTGCAAGCACTGCTGTTAGCCGCGTAAAAAGTTTGATGGAGAAAGCCGAAAAGAACGACTGACGGAAATGGCCGAAATGTTGCGATTGCTATGAGTGCAAAGGTCATGTCAAAGTAAATAAATAAACGAGAGGTCGGCGAATGAATGAAGTCGTGGGACCTGCAGAAAACTAGTCTTTAATGGTTTAATGGTATTGTTTTATGAAAATCTGTTTTAAATATCGTCCGTCATATTTTAAGAAATTTCTATCGGATATTTTACTTTGTTTGTCATGTAATTTCGCGACTTGACTAATGTGTTCCAGATTCTGATCGATTTTAAGTATGCGTTCTACTTTCATAATGTATCATAGTGTATTCTTATCATTTTCTTGTACATAATTCACCGGGATTTGTGTTTCCGCGTGTTTTTTATTGTTTAGAAAGACAAATTGTGATTTATATCAAGCCAAGGTAAGGTAGGTATGCTGTTGATTATTGAATGTATTCTTCTAAGTTTATTGGTTATTCTTAAGTTTAAAAATAAACTGAATGATTGAAAATTACTGTTTGGTATAATTACAGAGATAAAAATGTGCACCCTGAATCTGTTTACTATTGTGCAGATCTGACTCCCTCTAGCTAAGGTAGGTTCTAGTCCTATAGTATAAATATGACGTTGCTTTGAGATATTTTTGCTTCTGTCGGGCTTGACCGACATAAACTATAACAAGCCCATAACATCTGATATATTGGACTAGCTAGGTGCTTGACATATTGTCAATACAACTCTAATGATGGAACTTAATAATAATTGCATGATTCATCATTGTATAATAATTTGTCTGTCATGAAGTGTAGTACTGTGTACATAATGTACAAGTAAACTGATGCTTATGGTTAAAGTCCATAATAAATAACCATTTCCAATTAAACTTTTTACTTCATCTAAGCACTATAGTGCTCAGTTACACAGTGTATTGTGAAATTGGATCTGAAGGTATAAGCCATCACAGGAACTTGAAATTCAATCAAATTAAGTAGTAACTTAAGTCTAGATTTTCTAATTGATTCTCTTTTACAGAGATGGTATATGTTGAGAAAAATCTGAAATTCTGGGCCCCAGAAAATGCCAGATTTTTCTTATGTACAAGGGGATAAAATTTTGTTTAACAGTGATTTAATTTTTGTCATTTGAATATTCCGAAAAATACCTATGATGAAATGAGATTTTTGTGACCGCATGACTGTTGTCTGCCGTGTGCAGTCATCGAATTTAGCACTGGCCCGGTGGCCCATGGCCTTCGAAAATTAGTTCAGGCCAGTGAAAATTTAAGAAAATTAAGTTAAATATATAGTAGAATAAATTCAAAACTGGAATTCGGGCTAGTAAATTCAAAACCTTAAATTCCCTGACTGTGTGTGTTGGCTGTAGTTATCAACAAGTGTATAAAGCTATATAACTGCTGCAAAAGATTTTGTTCCAATTTTGAAAAAAAAACACTTTCAAAATGCATGTATAAAAGAAATATGTTAGTATATGGCTTAAAAGTGTATACATGCCACTTCCTAACCTGTTAAAATCTTTTTTAAAATAGCTACATATTTACATGATAATTTGTTCCTGATCATTTTATTTTATTTACTTCCAAGTTTATATAGAGACTTTTACAACTCTTTTGAGAATCCGTAAGATTTGGGAAGTAATTTTTTTTTTGCTGTTGATAAATTCATTAGATATACCCTTTTATAGACAGGTAATGGGTTGATTAGTCTGTAAATATAAAAGCAGGTAGTCAAAAGAAATAAATTTTTGTTAGTGTTTTATTAATAATCCCATCATTATAAATCCACATATTAATTATATTTTAAAAGATACAATGTATAGTTTGAAATATATTTTCATCATGTCATTTCGTTGATTTCTGTTGATTAAGTGCATGCCTGATAAATTTAGCTTCATCATTCACCCTCTGATTTATCAGACACCTCGGCAGAGCCTCGTCTTTTTTTCTTATCCTTGTACGATAAATTTTGTAATATCAGACACCAGCATGGTGTATAATTATAGAGTTTGATCTATATCATGTTGAGTTGTCTATATACATGTATATATACATGTACTTATACATGTATATAAAATTGAAAGTCAATTTGATAAAGTCAAAGATAATGAATTGATTATAACTTTTGCTTTTGTGCTTGTGTTTGTAACTTCAAATTCAAGTAATTGTTAGGTGTTGATTCTTAAAAAGGGCTGGCACAGTTCTTTAAATTTATTTAATTCCTTTTCCCCATTTAACTACTTTTATTTTCATGTTCTATTTTTATGCTACATAACAGTTACATGTATTGCTATTTTTAGCGGTATTGGATGTATGGTAATGTCTATTTATAGCCAGGTCATGAGCATGCTCAGTGGACAGATAAACAAATAAACATGTTGCAAACATGTCTGTGTGGTAGTCTTCAATACTGTATAAATACTACACCACTATCGGTTTATTTCATACACCTTGCGATAGAGCAAACTGATAAAGATAACTCTTACAGAGAAGCTTTGAGAAATAATCTTCCAAGATTTGTCTACCTTTATATTTGACAAGGTAAATACTTAAAAGCTAAATCAAAACTGAAAAAAAAAGTATAACTGCTGTAAATCAACTACTTCTACTGCTGATTTTAATTTTTTTTTTTTTTTTGGAAGAGTAACATGTTAATTGATTTAGGAAGTAAATAATATTTTCAATTTCAACTGATTAAAAGGAATGTTATCAATTGTTTCATTATTGAAGAATGAATGTTTTAGTAAGAATTTTTTTATCATTTCAGAATTCACTATATAGAAATGGCTTTACCAAATGGACCAATGGAGATTGTTTTCTCCTTTGACACAACGGGCAGTATGAGCTCATGTTTGAACGAGGTACGCGGGAGAATCGCGGACATGGCTCAGAGACTTCAGGCTGATATCCCCGGCATTAAAATGGCGATCTTTGCACATGGAGACTATTGCGACCGGCACAATTACATCACAAAATTTGTGGACTTCACGGATGATGTAACAAAACTTGTAGATTTTGCCCAAAACGTCAGCTCGACTGGTGGCGGGGATTCAGACGAATGCTATGAACTTGTTCTACATGAGGTGCGCACCAAACTCTCATGGACACCAGGGTCACAAAGGGCACTTGTCATGATCGGTGACTGCAATCCCCATGAGCCAAATTATCCTGATAACAAGTTAAAGTTAGATTGGAGAGTTGAAGCAGATGAATTGGGAAAAATTGGTGTTCGAATTTACTCTGTACAATGCCATACCTATAATGCTGACAAGTTTTATTCGGAAATTGCTCGCCGCACTGATGGTCAACATTTAAAATTAAGTGACTTTAAAAACATTTTCGATTTCCTGATGACGGTCTGCTACAAAGAAAGAGGGGATGACCTGTTTTTCAATTACGAGAAAGAAGTAAGGGCTCGTTCTTCAAACATAAATAAAGACTTGCATAAATTGTTTGGAGATCTTAGAGACAAAATAGATACAGCTCCTGATACACGGTCTGAAAGTAGCATAGAACCAGCAAAAAAGCTTGGAAAAGGGGGGGTGAAAGTGGCAAAGAAAGTAAATGCAAAAGGAGCGAAGCCTGTTCTTAAAGCTGTGGAGAAATCGCCTGCTAGCATTAAGAAGGTGAAAGCAGTACCTGCCCACAAGAAATACGAGGGTTGATCAATAAATTCGTGGACACACTCCATAAATTGTTTTTTTGAGGAAGGAAAGTTAATATAATTATATGTGACATTTATTCAATTATTTATCAATTTGATGTGTAAGTTTCAGATAAATAATCCATATATTTTATCCAAAATGACAGTTTTAAGAAATACATGTAAAGCTGATCGCCGCAGCTCATTTGCAACTTACGTTACGTCGTGACGTCGGCGTTACATCTTCTCAAAAACAATGCAGCACCAACTTTTACACATCGTTCATGCCTGTGTACCCACCGACTGAAAATGTTCTTATACAATGAAGTATCAAATGAACGCAACACAGACAATGCTATGGACTGCAAATCATGGAACCCGGTTAACTTGTGTCCCTTTAACTCTGCCTTCAATTTCACTCGCATAACGTTCGCATCGCAACAAGTTTTAATTGGTCTGCCGCATCTCTTATCATCTTGAAGTTCTTCTCTACCCTCACAGAAGTGTATGTGTCACTTATAAACTAACGAATAAGACACTTTTTTTGTTCCAGATACAATTTCCATGTTTTCTTTAGTTTGCTTTGGCGTCATACCAAGATTTACACAGAACTTAATTACTGCCCTCTGCTCCAACAACGTCGTGCTCCTCTCTGGTGACACACCCCTGTCTCCATTAACATCTCCAACAAACAAAAGAAATAGTAGCGACGCTTGCTTTTTTTAATGTTCTATAAACGATATGAAAGAACGTTGCCGTCATTTTCATATTTTAAAGAAGCACGCCAAAATAAGGACATTTTTTAAGTATTTCAAAATGGTAAATATAACTTTTTTTTGAGCTGTGGCGTTCGTACGGTATAGGGTTGCTATGGCGATACATATAATGAACAAAATGAAATTTGTTTTTAAAAAATCACAATATATTTGAATAGTATTAAATTCTTCTCCTAAATAGCAAAAAATCTTTATAATATCTTGATTAATTATTAAGTTATTAATAGTGTCCATGAATATATTGATCAACCCTCGTACATGGAAAAATATTTGCCAAAACTCAGAAGGGAAAATGTCCCTGAAAATAACTTCCTTTTAAGGGAAATGAAATGGTCAAAATGGCAGGTTGTTGTTTATCCAAAGCAGAAAGTTTTTTCAGACACTAACACACAAATTGCAAGTGATGTCAGTTGCAAAAGGAAAGGATGTGGTCATGGGTATAGAGCCAAGACAATTTTTGGCGGGAAAACAAAAGTTCCGGCATTTTATGAAATTGGGGTTCAAACAAATGCATTTGCCAGAAATGGCAGAAAGAATGTAACATACAGTAAAGTGTGTCGAGGATTTACATCCAGTTCTAACTGGGAAAGCAAACTGTTTGGACGAAAAGACATCCGCAAGCAAATTGACGATTTGGTAACAAAAGACTGTAGTATACATGTACGTAGAATGTTACTAAAGGGAGACAAGTCAAAAATGAAAGTGAGACAAGCTCAGAGAAGGTACGACTACGCTTGGAAAGGAATAAAATCTGTCAGAGATGGACATAGAAGTGTTTATAAGGGAAATGTTGAGATCTCATGTGAAATGGACATGTAAAAATATTAAAATGTAAAAATATTTAGCCGTGGTTATTAGCAAGAAAAGAACAATGTGCAATAGAGACTTGCTTCGTGTAAATATTATTGATATCATCAATGTATTATGTTGTTTTTTAAAGAAATATAAGGCATTGTAATGTGTAAGCATGCATTTAAAAATGTACATTACAAGTCTGTCACATTTGTATATATCATAATTATTTGTACATACTTTGCTGTTTCATAATAACATTTTTGTGTTTACATTGTTTATACTTGTTTTGGGTATAATTTGTATTTTATATACTCATTATGTAGAGATTAATAAATTATTTGTTATTATGTGTTCAAAAAAAAAATAAAAAGAAAGAAAAAAAATGCTTTTGTTTCTGATTAATATATATTAAGTTCTTGAAGATATTGATAAGGAGAATTGAATATTAACCCTTACCATGGTAAATACCATGACTTGTCTATCTTTCTTTCAATGTGGACAGAACTTTTCATTGTGTTTAGGGAAAATCTCAAAATAAGTACAAATTGGATAGCAAACAGTGCAGGTAATGATCTTAGTCTGCTCAGTTTGCATGCTAGCTAAATTCAGTTGCAACCGGCAAGCTATGGGTTAATTAAAATTGTTTTTATACAACTGTTCAATTGCTGAAAGAATAGAGTGTTACAGTGATGAGTTATCACATAATTTTCTGCAATTTTTTAAAGAAGAAGAAAATAATAAATTGAGCATATTATTACACCTTGGAAAATGAAACCAATTAACTTCGAGCATTTGCTGCATGTGATCTCCAAATAAAAATCAATATTGAGTCCCATCTTATCTGTTTGCTTTGTTTTCATTTCTGAGTCCAAAAATTCATATCATATCCATATTGTATTGTACTCCGTCTAGCCTTGTTTTCATTTCTTTATTCAAAAAAATCCATATACTCACTGTAGGTTATTTATTCTTTTACATGTAAGAGTGACCTCTTTTACATATTTAACATGCTTTTTGTGTCGCCTTGAAAAAGGCGACATATAGGGGTTACTTTCGTCGGTGGTGTCGGCATTGTTGTCGGTGTTGGCATCGGGGCCCTTAAGCTTGTCCAGAGCATAAGTCAGTCATTATAAGTCGGATTGACTTCAAACTTGGTATGCATACTTCTCATAATGACCTGAAGTGCAGTTCACAAGAACCGGTACTCTGCACTTCTTAATTTTTGAGTTATTGCCCTTTGTTAATTTTCATACTTTATTTTTGTCCGGGCCATTCCTCCTAAAGTATAAAAACTATGGACTTTAAACTTGATAGGATGATAGATCTCATTAAGAATGATAGATCTCATTAAGAAGAAGTGCAGTGCACAAGAACCGGTACTCTGCATTTCTTATTTTTTGAGTAATTGCCCTTTGTTAAGTTTCATACTTTATTTTTGTCCAGGCCATTTCTCATAAATTATAAAAGCTATAGACTTGAAACTTCATAGGATGATAGATCTTATTGATAAGAAGTGCAGTGCACAGAAACTGCTGCTCTGCATTTCTTATTTTTTGAGTTATTACCCTTTGTTAATTTTCATATTTCGTTTTTGTCCTGGCCATTTCTCCTAAACTATATTGTTCACAAGGCGACAAATCCGACTCGCGGAGTTCTAGTTAATTATCAATGTACATGTAGTGATGTTTTCCGATATATATTCATACAAATTCTTCTAGTGTAAAACGTACTACAATGCCCGGAACTTATGGACTTTAAAAAAGTTTTATAAATCATGCCCTTGGTGATCACATAGTTTGTTTGACTTCAATGATAAACATATCTTAAAATTTATGTCTTACAATTCTTCTTACCCCTTGTGGCTGAGGGGTTGTCTTTAACAGTTTAGGCATCGGAATTGCAGCCACGGTTTATCTCTGTGTGATTGTAAGAGGAGACTTAATTGGTTTAGTTTGTAACACCCGGGGTAAGCCAAAATCATCATTCCTGTTCCAGCGCCATATGACCTTTTTTGTGTTGGTTAAACCAAACAAAACAAATAAAATTCATCTTTTATTTACATATTACTTGTATAACAATAATATAATTGTGTTTTATTTATTTGTATTTGACACCAGGTGTATGGATTTTCCTCTCATTATCGGAATGGCAATATTAGCAACTGTAGTTGGTGGATACATAGTTACCTCCCTTCTACTTTTCAAGTTTCCTAACATCATCCACAAGAAAAAGAAGCTGAAATTTAGACCAGTACATATCAGTCATAGAGGAGGTAAGCTTTTGCTTTAAAATCACTATTTTAATTCTTTACCTGCAGGTTCTCTTACATGGGCTTGACCACGTTCCATTTTTTGGTTGCCTATTATGGCTTTAAAATGGCAATATTAATTACCAGGTATTTTGATTTCAAGATGAAAATATGAAGTTGGTAAGCCAGCATTTGTCAGACTGTCTAGATATGCAGGTTAGCAGGGCTCTATGCTAGTGGCAAAGACTACTAGCAGGATAGTTACCTTCTGTTAAATCAAGGTTTGTTTCATTGGCTATCAACTTGTTAACACTAACCAAAATGTTTCAAAAGCGATAGAGAAAATATACCACTACAAACTACTCTGAAAATGAAGCGCAATTGTTAATTGGCAAAATATACTATTGTAACCACTTTGATATCAGTTGATAATTGCAGTGTAACTGCTGGAGTATCAGAAGTGATCAGAGTAATCACTTTGGTATCGGTATTAAATTGCAGAGTAACCACTTTGGTATCAGAATTATATTGTAACCATTTTGGTATTAGAAATTACAATGTACATGTAACCACTATGGAATCAGTAATTACAGTTATGGAATCAGTAATTACAGTATAACCACTTATTACAGTATAACCAATATGGATTCAGTAATTACAGTGTAACTGCTATGGAATCAGTAATAACAGTTATGGAATCAGTAATAAAAGTGTAACCACTATAATGGAATAATTAATTGCAGAGTAACCACTTTGATATCAATAATTGCAGAGTAACCACTTTGATATCAATAATTGCAGAGTAACCACTTTGATATCAATAATTGCAGAGTAAACACTTTGGTATCAGTAATTATAGTGCACTCATTTTGATACCACTTTGGTATCAGTAATTATACTGTAATTACAGTATGACTACTATGGAATCAGTAATCAGTTATTTTGCTGAAGTGCAAAAATAATTATGCCTGTATATTTAAATGCAGTGTTGAACGATTCATAGTTAACATTTTAAATAATTCCCTAGCTGCAATACATGTATTACCATGAGCATTGTCATTGTATCATAATATAATTAACCTCTCTACATCAACACCCCTTGTCAACAATCAAAAAACTGTATCTTTATAAGGGTGTTGCACTGTCGAGGTTGTTCTGTATAAGAATGTTAATAGTAAACTTTTTGTTATGTTTAAAGGTGCTGGAGAAAATTGTGAAAATACCATGATGGCATTTAAACAGTTGAGTATAAGGAACTTTTTTATGTACTAGCAATTTGTGTCTTTTTAATTGGTAGAAAGAAAGAAGAAACGTTTTGGCATAAGCTTTTAACAATAAATAAAAGTTTGATAATTCACTCATTAAATTCACACATAATGTTCTTTAAAATGTTGAAGTTCTGTTCACCTGCGCAGTTCAATAGGGAGAGCATTAGATTAATAATACAGGAATCACTGGTCCATTCTTTGGGTCAGGCATGATTTCTCTCTGAAAATTCATCTCGGACATTGAGTCTAATGGTCACTAGTCTCTGATTGGTTAATTCATCAAGTCATTATTTAACTGCAAAGATAATGAGCCGAGTCATGACAAAACCAACATAATGCGTTTGCGACCAGCATGGATCCAGACCAGCCTGCGCATCCGCGCAGTCTGATCAGGATCCATGCTGTTCGCTATCAGTTTCTTTACTTGTAATAGAGTTGGTAAGCGAACAGCATGGATCCTGATCAGACTGCGCGGATGCGCAGGCTGGTCTGGATCCCTGCTGGTCGCAAACCCGTTATGTTGGTTTTGTCGTGACGCGTCTCATATAATGAATTTATAAGATATCATGCTGTGAAATTACATAATTACATGCACTTGCTAGTTATATACAGGAAAGCCTGTTTAGATGGATTGACTGCCGAAATATGTGTTAAAATGTGCGGGGGGGGGAAAAAACCAAAAATAAACCAAACAAATGTCAAAGATTCAACTTATAACATGAAAAAAATTCTTGAAATGTTTGCCTTTTCCTACTTGAGTTACATATAGAAGATATTGAATGCCGGAGTATATAAACTGTTTTGTTGCTTATCTTTTCATAGTAATTCAGCATTCCATTAATGTGTTGAATTGAATTTTTGCCTTAGCTAAATAAACAAGGACATGTAAATTTTATTTTCTTGTTTATGAAATAATATATCATTTCATATTTCAAATGATATTTCTTTTATTTCACAGGAATTGTTCCTAAATTAACCATTCATTTGAATTAAAGATAAATACCATATTCACCAATTAATTATTGGGTTTTAAGCATAAACTATATTTATACTGAATGAAATAATTCTCTTTTAGTGCATTGAGTCACGGTACACAGATGTTAGAGATAGACTGTCATTTAACGAAGGACGGAGAGGTAGTGGTGTCACATGACCATCATTTACTTAATAAATGTGGGGCTGATATCAATATTTCTGATATTGATCTTAAAGTGAGTTATAAATAATATTTTATGCTAATAGTGCTTGTCTAGTGCGTTCTAATTGGGAATGCATGAAATTTTCTTTGTGTCTTGTTTGGAATTCATGAAAATTGCATTCTGTCTTATTTGGAACACATGAAAACTCCTTTCTCACAGTCTTATATGGAACACTAATAAAACCCTTCCTTGTTGTTTGTGGAATACATGAAAATTTCTTGCTGTTTTATTTGGAACACATGAAAAATTATTGCTGTCTTATTTCGAACACATGTAAATCCCTTGCTGTTGTAATTGGAACACATTGGAATTTCTTGCTGTTGTATTTGAAACACATGAAAATTTCTTGCTGTCTTTTTTTTTTTTTGAACACATGATAACTTCTTGCTGTCTTATTTGGAACATTTATTAACACATGTTAAATGAACTAAGTTGGAATGATAATTCTTAATTAAGCAGCTCTTGCTTGAATGCATCACTCAACATTGGGCACTTAAAATAACAATGGAATTATTTAATAGGAAATGCTTTATTCTCCATGTCTCATATAAGATATTTTTAAATAACTATTCTATATGTGTAACTAATACTTTTCTTATTGTTCAATTATTACAGGACTTGCCCGAATACAAGCCAGTATTATCTGTTGATTTCAGACCAGGTAAGTGAAAATTGATTAACCTTTGTAAAAGAGACTTTTCCTTCTTTCCTATGCTCCATTTGTGTAATGCTCCATTTGTGTAATGCTCCATTTGTGTAATGCTACATTTGTGTAATGCTACATTTGTGTAATGCACTTACCCTGCTTTGAATGGAACTGATCATTTTGGGTCTGAAGGAATTTAAACATTAAGTGCCAAGAATGCCTTTCAAATTTCATTACCATTACTGTTCAAGAGCTTTTAATTTTGGCATTCTGATACAGTTTCCAAATTTTTTTTCATAGGCCATTGTGAATAGAAGAGCCATCTTTTGCACTTTGGCAATAAGTACAGATATAGTGATTTAGTGTAAATTTATGAAACTCATGTTTGCCCTTTCTACTGAAAGGAAAAAAATGTTAATTTTTAAGGATTAACTATGTTAAAGAATTGAAAAACGTCATTAAGCTTATATCATATCTGCAGTGTAAACCCCAATGGGCTGGTCCCTCCTCTGGACAGATATTCCAATCTTTACCGCAACATATGACAGATATTATTAAACCTCACTTAAACAACACCTCTTGTCAACAACCAAAAAATATGACCCCAAAAGGGTATTGCTCTGTCGAGGTTGTTCTGTATCTACTTTTATTTGACAGGTTTTACGGTAGAGTGCGGCAAAGATAGAAAGATCCCGACCCTTCGTCAGTTATTCACTGCTTTTCCTCAAACACCTGTTAACATTGATGTGAAACTGTACAATGAACAGCTTTTCCATAAGGTAACATTCTGTTTCTGCTTTTTTGCTGGAAAAATTTGGTAGCCTAATTTTCTTCAACATTATTATGAAGACAAAAGTATTGTTTATTCAATTCAATTTTATGTGCAACATGATTTTATAACATGACTTTTTGAAAAAGGAATTTGACAAGAGATGAGTTATTTAGAAAATCTGTCCCTGTTTTTAGGATGTTTTCAATTAAGTGCTGCTGAATAAAGGTGTATTAATTGTTTTCAGATAAGTTTTTCAATCTTTAACCTTTTTTTGCCTGAAATAGTTCACAGATGGGGAAAATTTTACCCTGACGTAGCTTGAACCTAATGTAATAAGCTTTTGTCACCAGAATAGGTCAAGCTCTATCTGTTGGCTTACTTAATTCTTATTTTAATCATGATATCCCCAGAAATATATAATGGACTGTTCCAAAAATATGAAACTGGACATATTCATTCAGTAAAATTTCAGTATTTTTTTCCCATCAGTATAAACTATAGACCCTTCATACAAACTCAACAGTTTGATATTTTGTTGCTCTTTCTACAAAATGTAAAAAGTAAAATCTATGTTTATATTCTTTGCTTATCTATGTTTATTTTCTTCGCCTTGAAGGTGCATGATTTGATAAAAGAATTCCACAGAGAAGATATTACTATATGGGGAGGACGGCTTAGTGAAACCACCAAGGCTCTCAATAAATTGGTAAATTTTAAGTGTATGTTTAATCTTTTTTTGCATATCATATGACAGATATACATGTCACTGTACCATGTATTTGCCTCTAAGACAGTATGTGGAAAATGAATTGTCATATCTGAGCAATTGACTTTTAGCTTTACTTTTTGAAGGAAAAAAGTGGAACTTAATAATTGTCATGGCTGTCCTGTCAACAGTGTATATTATCAAAATAAGATGCCATTTCAAAAGAGCAGAAAATCGTAGATTCTTTTTTTGGCAGAGTTTATGCCTTTTAACCTGTTAAACAACGGTCCATTCTGATAAGCTATCATAGATTAACAGTATTCCCTTCAAAGATTGAATACTCATTTATTATTTATCTTGTATTTAACTTTATAGACTTAAGGGCTTGTGTTCTACATGCCCACAGCTGTTTATACCTACCCATGTGCCTGCTTGTACCTGAAATAATGCATGGTGGGGCACCTGAGGTCTTCCTCCACCAGTAAAGCTGGAAAGTTGCCATATGACCTATACTGTGTTTGGGGGACTTTAAATCCAACAGAAGTAACAAAGAATATCTGTTTAAACAGCACCATATAACATATCAGGAATGTTAAAACATGTACATTGTACTTTATGATATAAAAATGATATGATATTTATACATTTCAGGATCCTGGTATACCAGTGTTTTTCTCCTTCAGACGATGTTTTACATTATTGTTACTGTTTTACTCTGGATTACTTCCCTTTGTACCACTGTATGAGTCAACCTTGGAAATAATAATGCCTAGTATTATTTTAAAGTAAGTTTAAATCTTCGTTTTAATAAAAAAATATTATTCGGTACAGATTAAGATAAGATAAGATTTTGGCATAATGTACATACATGATAATATAACACATGGACTGAGACATAACATAACAAAAACCATGACATACTCACAAACACCATTGATATCACAAAAAGAATAAACCCTTATTTCCATGGCGGTCTGTTTAAAGGAAATCAGTTTATTATATATATTATTATATGTAAGCAATAAATTAGTTACTAGTTTTTTATAACCTCCACACTATTATATTTTCAAGAGGGCTAAGAAAACACTTTGTCCAGTCCTATCATGTCCCATCTGTTCCAAATGTTTTTCTTCGATATGTTATAAAGGAGTACATTATAAAGGAGTAAAGGTAGAGTTTTGAAACTCATTAGATATATGAAAGGTTACAACAATGCTCAGTATGCCAAGTTATGTAACCCGTCATTGCATTTTGATAAAGTTATTTCCCTGTTAACAAAATACTTGTATATATTTTAGAATATCCAAAAATGTTTTCTCATTTTAAGATACAAGCTGTTGAGGCACACATTCTGCAATAATTGATCAATAAAAGGAGTGAAAACAATTATAGATTCTTCTAGTTAAAAGATAATTTATTTAAACCTTAACATGCTGAAATTGCATGATGGATATTCCCTGCATTGAAATTGGAACAGTCCATTCAAAGTTTTAGGGATTTCAATATCAAAAATACAAAAATTGAGCTGCTGACAATATAGAGTCTGACCAGATGGCACATATATGAAAGCTTGCCTGACTAGACTGGTTGGTAAAACAAATTGAGCCGTGTCATGACAAAAGCAACATAATGGGTTTGCGACCAGCATGGATCCAGACCAGCCTGCACATCCGAGCAGTCTGATCAGGATCCATGCTGTTCGCTTACAGACCCTATAACAAGTAAAGAAACTGCTAGCAAACAGCATGGATCCTGATCAGACTGTGCGGATGCGCAGGCTGGTCTGGATCCATGCTGGTCGCAAACGCATTACGTTGGTTTTGCCATGACACGGCTCAATTAATTTTATTTCCAGCAGGTTAAGTGTTAATTTCCGTGTGTTAATTGGTTGTAATTATCTAATTGTTAATGATTTTTTGTAAGAAATTGACATAATTTCTATTTTATGACCCTCACAGTAGAAAGAACAAGACAACAGAACTGTCATTAAAGTTTAGAATACTTTTACGAATGGCGGATATGTAAGTATAATAGTGGTTCATTATATTGTTTGAAAAACATAATTATCACTTTGTTACCAAACCCTTCACCCTGCAGAAACCAGAAGTGATTAGAAATCGGCCTTTCCTTATAGTGTAGAGCCAACCAACCTGTACACCTGACTTGTCTGACTAAACTACATACTATTGCTTGAATGAATTTTTATCGTAATATCCCCAAAATTGTAACTTTTTTCTCGAAAAGTCTCGAAAAATTTAAACCTGAGTACGTTAAATTAAGAAATAAACATAACCATGTAGGGTAAGGGTTAAATGAGGCTTATATAAGGAGAAGGTGATAACAAATAAATCGATTTGCTTTTGATAAAATTTGTACAAGTCAGACAAGTGTATATAAACCGCTCAATCAAACCGAGCCTGCAACATTTCAATTTTGTTGTGTTGGACTTTCTTTAGGGATTCTGTTTTTCTCTATTTTATTTATGAAGACAAATAAACTGGTTTTTGGAAAACTTGTAAAACAGCAAAGTTAATATGCCTGTTTAATTGTAGAGATTTGAACTATTGAACAACCTATTGACAATTTCCTTTAATGACTAGATAAATTGTTTTCACCTCATATTGGGGGCATTTACAGTCATAATTTGGCAAATGTACAGGTTAACTAAATGGTGGCATGGCTCAGTGGTTAACACGTTGGACAAGTAATCTTAGAACTGCTGTTTGTATGGGTTCAAACACCAGTCAAGGGCTGCAAAGCTCTTGTTTTCTTAGGCAAGAAACTACACTCACTGCTCAGTACTGGTTGGTTCTAGGAACAGATTTGAATGTGTTTATAAGAAATAAGCTTCCTACACAATCAAACTTAAATTAAGTATATACAAACCATATAAATGCTTTGATAAATTAAAAAAGGTCTTTTGTTAATTATTGATATGGTAATATTAAATAAATCAGACAACAAAGAGTTATGATTCATGTTTATTTTATATTATAGATTAATTATGCGGCCAGCTTTATTTAGTCACCTTAACAAACGAGGCATACAGGTAAGCTTAGCTTAATCTTGTAGAAATCTTCCCCCTTGTTGGTTATGAAAGAAATTTATATTGTAGGTTCTTTATACATTTGAGCCGTGTCACGACAAAACCAACATAGTGGGTTTGCGACCAGCAGTCTGATCAGGATCCAGCCTGTTCGCTATCAGTTCAGTCTACTCAGGATCCATGCTGTAAGCGAACAGCATGGATCCTGATCAGACTGGTCTGGATCCATGCTGGTCGCAAACCCATTCGCAAACCCATTATGTTGGTTTTGTCGTGACGCGGCTCATTTGAATATTTTATTGCTTACCTGCACCTTGTATTGGAGGAGTTGCCTTTATGGGTTGAGGCATCAGAATTGCAGCCACAGTGTATCCCTGTGTGACCGTAAGAGGCCACTAAATGAGTTTGAATTACTGGAGTCAATGCATCTCTTAGCTCCAGTCAACTGGCTTCCATTATGAAATGGAATGCTACAGTATTCTAAAGCAACACCTTCAAAATTTACACCTATTTCTTTATAATATATTTGCATTGTGTGTGCATTTGAACTTATTTGTTTATGGCTACATGTTTGTTAAATACTGGTAAAACAAATTTGCTATGAGTCATGAGCAGGTAACAAGATGTGTTTTATGGTCATATTCTGATAAAATATTCTTTTCTCCTTCTGTGACCTATTTTGTAAATTATTTGTACATACTCATATTTTTCTCAAAAAAAATACCAATATCTTCAGTTAGACTTTCACAGTACGAAGAAAATCCTTTGGAAAGTTATGTGACTGTTTACAAGATTTTTTTTAAAGTTTGTTGTATTAATGAAAGGAAACTTTGAAAATAAAATTTATATGCAACATGATGATGTTTAAAACAATCAGGACCAAGTTGTAATAGATACTTATATTCTTGTATGTCTTATGGCTGGTACAGATTAATGTAAACTATGAATATACACATTTCAGACGTATCTGTGGGTGTTGAACGAAGAGGAAGAATGGAGCCGTGCCTTTAAAATAGGGGCCACAGGTGTGATGACAGATTTCCCGTCAAAATTAGCAGAATTTATACGTGATCATCCGGAGCTGGGTGTAGACGTCAGAGGTAGTGTAGAGAATGACGAGAGTCAATGTCTTACGTCAAAACAGCCAGAGGTTGATCAACAAATAAAGATATAGCTTTAATAATTTTAGATATTTATTTTTTAGTCATTGTTATTGTTAGTGTTTATATGTTTTGTAATGTTTATTTATTAGATATATTGTCTACCTTATGTTAAGCTCAACATTTTATTTTTATCATTACTGAACAATCATTTTGTAGAATTCCTTGATACAGTCACCACCTGTCAGAAAAGGCCACTTGATGGAACCGTTGACATGTCATAAAGACCATTCTTCACATGTTTGCCTGTACTTTGAGTTATAGCTTGTCAGTCAACTTATGTACAATATTGACAGTTTTTCTGTTAAGCATCTTTGTTATTTCGATTAGATTAACCCTTTCACTCCCATAGGGATGGCATATGCCGTCCCTATAATTTTTCGGCGTATTTGCCATATGGACGGCTTTTGCCATTTCTGTAATAATAATAATAATAATAGTTATAATAATAATAATAATCGTAATAAATATATAGATAATTATACCGTCAACAATAATTATTATTATACTAGCAGATTTGGAAACATATATAATTATTATAATACTAATAACAAATAATAATAGTATTAATTAATAATATAGTAATTTCTTAGAAAACCTTCTGGCAAATAGGTGTGCCGATTCTGTAATAATAATAATAATTATAATAATAATAATTATAATAATAATAATAATCGTAATAAATATATAGATAATTATACCGTCGACAATAATTATTATTATACTAGCAGATTTGGAAACATATATAATTATTATAATACTAATAACAAATAATAATAATATTAATTAACAATATAGTAATTTCTTAGAAAACCTTCTTGCAAATAGGTGATCAATAAATAAATAACCCTCTGGCAGCGAAAGGGTTAAGATTAAATTACAATTTTCTTGCTTCATTAATTTTATTTTTTACTGCTTGCAAAGTTTATTTTAATCTTTAAATACTTGTTCTGTTACCACAATAAAATCTATGACAAGGTACATAACTCTTGTAGCTATAAAAAATTATCCACACTTTGAACTCAGACTGTCAGATAAAAATTGTTGCTGTTTTTTTAAATTAACAATATTGATTTCATTGCTGAATGTATCTTTTCAGACTCACTCAGTATATTTGTTTTAGTATTTTTTACTTATATGACACAATTATGACAAGGTTCATGACTCTGCAACATGGATTTTATTATCTCCCCTTTGAAATGAAAAACAAAATCACATAAACTTAAGTATTTTCTCATGCAGTTTCCATGACAACCTATGTCATGATCTTTACCATAATGGAGTTTTTTTTTTACTTTTTAGCTCACCTGATCACAAAGTGCTCAAGGGTGAGCTTTTGTCATCACTATGCGTCCGTCGTGCGTCTTGCCTCCTTCAAAAAATGGCATCAAATTTTTCAAACAACATCTCCTTCTAAACTACATGGCCAATTGCAACCAAACTTTACAGAAATGATCCTTAGGTGGACCCCTTTCAAAGTTGTTCAAAAATTTAAATTCCATTAAAAACTGGTTGCCATGGCAACCGAAAGAAAAAAACTTTAAATATCTACTTTTAAAAAACCCAAAGAGCTAGAGCTTAGATATTTTGCATGAAACATCTTCTAGTGAGTGTCTACCAAGTTTGTTCAAATAAAAGCCCTGGGGTCAAAATTGGCCCCGCCCCAGGGGGTCATTGATTTTCCCTAAATGCATATAGTAAACTTAAAAAATCTTCTTTTAAAGAACCCGAAGAGCTAGAGCTAAGATATTAAGCATGAAACATCTTCTAATGAGTGTCTACCAAGTTTGTTCAAATAAAAGCCCTGGGGTCAAAATTGGCCCCACCCCAGGGGGTCATTGATTTTCCCTATATGCATATAGTAAAAACTTAAAAAATCTTCTTTTAAAGAACCCAAAGAGCTAGAGCTAAGATATTTAGCATGAAACATGTTCTAATGGGTGTCTACAAAGTTTGTTAAAAAAAAGCCCTGGGGTCAAAATTGGCCCCGCCCCGGGGGTCATTGATTTTTTTTTATTTGTGTATAGCAAAAACTTAAAAAATTTTTTTTGAAAAAACCCAAATAGCTAGAGTTTAGATATTAAGCATGAAACATCTTCTAGTGAGTGTCTACAAAGTTTGTTAAAATAAAAGCCCTGGGTCAAAATTGGCCCCGCCCCGGGGTCATTGATTTTCCTTATATGTGTATAGCAAAAACTTAAAAATCTTCTTTTAAAAAAACCAATGAGCTAGAGGTTAGATGTTTAGCATGAAACATCTTCTTGTGGGTGTTAAAATAAAAGCCCTTGTGTTAAAATGTGGGGGGAGGGGGGGGGGGGCAGAGGTCATTGTTTTTCATTATATGTGTGTAGTAAAAACTTAACATCATGAAACATCTTTCAATGGGTGTCTTCCAAGTTTGTTCAAATAAAATGTGTGGGGTTTAAACTGGCCCCCCTCCGGGGGCCTATATACAGGTGAGCGACCTCAGGGTTATCATGGCCTACTTGTTTATACTTTTTTTATCAACCAAAATCAAAATAATTAAGTGATGTTTTGCTATATATTATTTCATATTTTACCCAAGTTTTAAAAAAAGTATTTGTACTTAATGACCTTTTATAGTTTTATGTTTAACCCTTTACCCTCCTGATTATCTTAAATGAACTTGTCCGGCTTCAATTGTTGGAACTGTCCATTATCAATTATAGGGATATCAGCTTGAAAATTGGTCAGACAACAGTATAGAGCCTGGTCAGACTGCATGGAAGTTCAGGCTGGCCTGGCTAAATATTTGGTGCCTAGACTAATCACGTTCTGTTACTGCAGGGTATAGGTTAATATATTTTTATTCATACATGTATTATAGTTATGTTATAGCTGCTAGTCCAAAGTTAATAATCATAAAGAACCAACTGCATTTGTCAAAATTTGGTAAAAAAAAAGAAAAGAGATATATGTATTATTTATATAGTTTTATTCATTTTTATGTTCACATTTAGTGATACATTAATGAATTTCTTGTATAATTGAGACATTTCCTAAAATACTTTTTTTCACTGAAAATTGAATTTGTTAAATGAGTTGAAATTAGACAGAACAATCTTGTACACATTGTTATGTATTTATATTAATACCAAAGCCATTACCAACTTTTAAAACATTTATGACTTGTATTTGTTTAAAGCTTTACCTTTTATAAAATACTATACATACTATACAGAAGAAACCTGTAAACATTGTTGTGTTGTAAACTTATTACCAAAGCCATGATTGATTTTTCCAAACATATATATAAAGCTTAATGTATAAATGACAAATCCGGAACGATTTCGGAACTATATGTTTTTAGCCCATTACCTTTTGGGTCTGAAAGTGATTAGACTTTCAACTGTGAAGTATGACCGGGTCCTATATTGTCAGCTGACTAACTTAAGTTTTTTATTTTGGTATCCTTAAATATTAAATAAGTGCGATACAAGTTGGAGATGGGACAAGTCCATTTAAGAAATTCAGCAGGTTACGGGTTGAATTAGAGTGAATATTACGATAACTGTTACACAGTATTAAAATAATTATACAAATGTGTTGAGGGTTTGTTAAGAATAGATTAAGTATTACGTATCTGAAGTATTGTTGAACCAAACCGTGAATGATTCTTGTGGCAATAAGATAAAAAAAAATGTGCATATCATGATTTTGTTTTTAACCTTTCCAAAGATATTTTTTTAATGAATGCAATAGGTTTTGTTTTACTATTTTTGGTTTCTTGTGCTTTACAGTATTGTTTGTTAAAATGTCCGTCAATTAGAAAAATAATGTTATTATTTTAAGTGTTTTATTGCTTTACAATTGTGTTTGTTTAAAGGCACATTATGCCTCAGAAATGCTTTTATTTTTATTGTTCAAAAGCTTTTTATATTTGATGACCAGTTATGTTTTCCAAAAAAGTTACTCATTGGCCAATTACCTAAACCATCTTTTCCTTCTGTTGCTTTATGGTAACAAGTACAGTTATAGTTGTATGTCAAAATACTACTTTGTTTACATTTTTCTACATTTTTGAAGAATATTTAATATCCAGCACTACTTTCATCAGGTGATGTGCATCTAACATGCTGTAAAACCATTAACTAACATTAAAAATATTTGCCCTTTTTACATTAGGAAGTATTTATTCGCTTCTGAGGCATAATGTGCCTTTAAGACTTAAACCTGCTTTACTGGTTGGAGACCACCAAAACCGGACCACCACCAAACCCAGACGGCCCCAAAAATGCTTAATTTAGTATTTTCTTTATTCAGTGCTTGTCTTAGTCACTTTTTTTTATCAACAATAAATGCATGTTTCTTCTATAACTAAGTGAAAAAATTATTTCAACCTCCGTAAATGGATATATTTTATTGCCTATTTTAAGAATGTTGACGTTGAAATTCGGGCGTCAAGAAAGCAATGCCTGACCTCATATACCAGCTATAATCATTTACAGAGTAAACAATAGAATATCCAAAAATTCAGCATTTGTTGCTGAAATATTGTATATCATGTTAAAAATAAAAAATTAAAACACCCAAGCTTTTATCTGAATTAAATCACGTCATGTACATATCTGTCCGATCACATGGTACTGTAGTGTAGACAATTTAAGTAATTTTGATACCCTCGTTGACGAGCCTCAGATATAAGTGTCAATAAAATCAGAAACAAACAAGTAAGTTAGTTAGAAGAAGAACCTAGCTGTACTGTGTCAAATTTTTAGGTCTTTGAGTTTGAAATTATGAAATCTGTATAGAAAAATGTTCAAAAAGTGTCCGGTTGATGGTCCCCTACAAGTAGCCTTTGCCACCAGTATACAGCCAGGCTGGTCTGTACAGAGTCTGACCGGGCTCCATAGTCTATGATAATTGTTTTGTGATATTGAAATCCCTTTAACTTAGAATGGTCTGTTCCGAATTCAAAGCAGGATGAAGCCATTTTACAAACTCGGCAGGGTTAAAGGTAAATTTTTTTTTTTTTATGAATTATCTTTTAGTAAATCAGAAATTTATCTACTGGTTTCGAGATTAGTTCTATATGAAATGAGATATTGTACATTTTACTAACATAACCCTCAATAACCCTTTTTGCTGTCAGGACTGTTACACTTCATTGTATTAAAAATAAAAAAAGCATTAAAAGGCATTTGTTAGAATAATGAAAATTATTGTCTTGAGAGGGATGCTCAATGTAGAATATATATAATCAACATTTTGTTTCTTATACTTAAACCAAAAACTTTTTATTCTACTTAAAACCAAAAACTGTTTCTAACCAAGAACTGTTTATTCTACTTAAAACCAAAAACTGTTTCTTCTACTTAAACCAAAAACTGTTTTAGCATAATTTACATAGGTACACAATGTACTTAACTGTCAAAGAAATTGTTTTACTAGTCTTATATAAGTAGCATTATTATTGAAATATTTAATGACCCCCCTTTGATATATTGACTGGCAAATCGTTTCTGTGCAGTATTTCTGTGTCTGTCTCCAGGCAACTTTAAACTTGGCCATTACATCTTCATTTTGTTACTGATAACATAAGTAAATGCAGTACAAAAGGTTAATTATTACA